CGGTCTTGCTGCACAGGAAATGGGACAGAGAAGTCAGCAGCATTGCGCGTTTGGCTGGACCACGCAGGCGGCAGATTGCCTAATACCACTCCAGGCTTGCCTGCACAAGATACAGGACAGAGGGCGGTAGAGCAGTCCAAGATTGGCTGCACAAGAGAGGGGTAGGTGGGGAGTCAAGCAGTCCCGGTTTGGCTGCACAGGAGAGGGGAAAGAGAAGTCAGCAGCAGTGCGGGTTTGGCTGGATCACGCAGGCAGCAAATTGCCTAATACCAGTCCAGGCTTGCCTACACAAGAAGGGGGACAGAGGGGGGTACAGCAGTCCAGGATTGGCTCCACGTGGGTTGCGACTCACCAGCTGCGTGCTTGGTCGCTAGTGGAGGCGAGGTTCTGGTGGGGCGATAGGTTCCCGACACCGCCTTGGGCTACAGCGCGGGCATGTGCACGGCGCGAATGCACTGCTCGATTGCAATTTCGGCGTGGTGGCCTCGACGGTGGTCAGGCAGTTCGCAATACCGTGACAAGAGGGCTCTTTTGCCAGTGGGGCGTGGGCTTGCGACATCGCTGCTGGCCGGAAGCCGTGCGTTCCAGGGTGGGGGGGAGCTAGTTCACAAGTGGGAGCGGTCCTAATGCCTATGTCGGTCCGTTGAAAGTAGTACAACCACGCGCGCGGATCGTGCTATCTCTTGTCTCTGTGTTTGACCTCCCCGATTTTCCTTGCGTGAACACTGTTTTGCTCATCGCAGCATTATCTTCGGCTCGGCGGCTTGGTGTGGCTCTGGCGCGATGCGTCGTCGTGTAAACCCTAACTGGACGGCGTCGCGCTTGGGCGACTCTGGTGACGCAGTTGGGTTGCGCTTCTCTCTCAAGCCTAATATCGATATGTCGAGCGTGCGCAGTCCCACCGCGTCGAGGTGGTTGAAGCGCACGCGGTGTGTGAATGCGTGGGGCAGAGCGGTGCGCACCGTCCCGTGGCGCACTCTCGCGCCAAGCGGCAGGCCTGTGATCGTCGCTGCTTTCTGCCATGGCTCTATCCGTGCGGGTGTGTCGTGTTTTCCTGCTGGCTGTTTTTTTGCAGTCTCGTATTTCCTGGTGTCTGGTTTTCTTCTTGGTTCCCTACCCTCGAGAGTCCCCCTGCAGTTTTACAGTTGGGCTGGTGTCGCATGTGATCGCCAAACCAACCTGTGCACTGGGTTTGGTTGTCGCCAGGAGTTTGTTTTGCTCTGGTTGGTGTGACGACCAATCACATTCCATCTGATTCCAACCTGCTGTCTCGTCACTTCCAACCCAGGTTACCCTGTTCCAACCATTTAACGTTTGGTTGGGTTTCTGTAATATGAGACAAGGGCTTTAAGCTCACCTGGGTCCTAGCTTACAAATCGATGCCAAGTCATTTCCTTCCGTTTCGGGTATCAAGGAATAGGGATTTGGGTTGTATTTGTAAAGGTTTGTTTGCCTTCGACTAATCGCATGTCCCCTTTTACAGCACATCGGCATTGTTTAGTTTTGTCGGGGTGGAGGGGGTTACCCTCTTAACAGCGCTCCGAAATTGCTGGCAAAATCGCTCGCGCCTTTTTTTTTGCCATTTACGTGGCTATGCGATGCTGGCAGTCCCATTCCAAGATCCTCGTTCCTCGTGGAGCCGAAGCGCATCCACGCCCGCTTTGATGCCCCCGTTCTATTGGCAGCTTGGGTTTTCATACGACCCTGGGTCTCGTCGCATGACTTACCCAAGCCCGAAACGTAATTTTATGAGCCATCATGGCATCAACGGGGCATTGCGTGCCGTTTCGAAACCTGCCCTGCCCCCAAACTATCCCCTCTCTGTTCCAACCCAACCCCTATGGCGTCTTGGGGGGGGGCTCCATGAAGTGGGGTCCCAGCTTGATAACCCCTCTGCTATTTTGCCGTGGGGTTTTAATATTTTTTGGGTTGCGGAGAAACCTATTACGATCGATTTTGCCGAATTTTTTGTTTCCACTCAAAATTTTGGAAGGAAAACCTTTGCACAATAAAATAGGACATAGATTTGTTTTCCTATTACTATAACAAGATGCCAGAGGTGTTTATCCTATGATTGAGTGAGCATGTGAAGTGAACACAAAATGTGATTGTGAAAGGAAAGAGACGAAGAGAGAGGTAAAGAGAGAAGTTGAAAGAGAGGTAGAGAGAGAGGGAGAGTGTGTGTGTGTGTGTGTATGTGTGTGTGTGTGTGTGTGTGTGTGTGTGTGTGAGAGAGAGAGAGAGAGAGAGAGAGAGAGAGAGAGAGAGAGAGAGAGAGAGAGAGAGAGAGAGAGAGAGAGAGAGAGAGAGAGAGAGAGAGAGAGGGAGGGAGGGGGGGGGGCAGAGAGAGTGAGCGGGGCATTGCAAGAGAGAGAGAGAGAGAGAGAGAGAGAGAGAGAGAGAGAGAGAGAGAGAGAGAGAGAGAGAGAGAGAGAGAGAGGTAAAGGACGAGAGGGAGAGAGGTAGAGAGAAAGGGGTAAAGAGAGAGAGGGCGAGAAAGGTAAAGAGAGAGATATTGAAAAAAATGCGGAATCGAAGGAAAAGAGTACAAGATTATGATAAAATCAGAAAACAAGCAGAAAACGGAACAGGACAGAGATTGAATGGAACACGTAAGCGAGATAGGAAACGAAAGGATAAATGGCACAAGGATTGAATGGAACGGACAAGGGAAAAAAAACGAAGAACTGAAAACTAAGGAGGTGACGTGGATGGAAGAGAGAGAGAGAGAGAGAGAGAGAGAGAGAGAGAGAGAGAGAGAGAGAGAGAGAGAGAGAGAGAGAGAGAGAGAGAGAGAGAGAGAGAGAGAGAGAGAGAGAGTGAGAGAGAGAGAGAGAAGGGGAGAGAGAGATGATAGGAGAGGCTATGGGGGAAAGAAAAAGGGCTTGTGCTTACCGCGTTTCCAAGATGCGAATTTAGGATGGAAATAGGGGAAAAATGTAAGGTCTCGATGAAAAGGAAGGGGAAGGAATCGAGCAGAGAAGAGGAAAAACGGGTGAGAGGAGGGGTTAGAATGAGTATCGTGCATCTATGCTGAAATCGACCACTGACATTTCCATAGCTAGAGAAATCTATCGTGCATTGGGAGAAATCTATGGTGAAGTTGGGAGAAATCTATCATGCACTAGCTGTTGGAAGAAAGTAGCGTCTGAGATTAGGATATAGAGGAAGAGCAGAGAAGGTGCGCGAAGAGTACGGCTGAAACAGCTGCTCTCTGAACCCTCGAGCGGACCAGCTGCGTTGGAGCCACGTTTTTGCAGCTCTGAAGAAACATTTTTTCTTTCCGGTGAGAAATTGCCCCGTGACACAATAATTGGCGTAATAATGTTTTTTTAACGGCAATTACTGGTAGTGTAACTTCAGAATGCGAGTATGTAACGCGTAATGCATCCAGTGGCGAGCTCGGGGGTTTTGCCAGTGCTTGACGAAAACAAAATCAGTATCCTGTGGCGAGTGTGGCTAGGCGGGTGTCATTGCCACGCTAGATTTCACTTCCGTCTGGCAGTTGCGCGTGACGAGCCTCGCCACTGGGGAAATAAAACAAAAATTGCCAGGGGGCCAGATTCGCTCGCCTCAAGTCGTCTACAGTGGGAACAACCACCACATAATCAAACAGAATCACAACAAATCCCAGCGTCAGGGCATTTGACGGAAAGGCGAAAAAAAATCCAAACGCGCAAAAAACAGAGGATACATTACTAAATTTTGGCTACAGTGGAACAATAAGGGACCAAACGTTTCAGAATTTTGTACAAGCAGAAACGAACAGCAGTAGAACCAATTCAATCAGCGTTGCACGAATTTGAAACAGTGGCGCAAACTCTGATTCACAAGGTATAACTTAAAGCGCATCAAAATGCAGTAAATATATATGTACATAGAAGACAACTATGTAACTATTTCTAACTGTAATAGATGCAATGACATTGTATGTACTTTTATTAATGCACTGATATGACATACACCATCGATTGAATATTTCACATAGAATATATGAAATAACTATGATATTTTGACAGAGACTTTCACATCAAAGCTTGATAATTAGCTTAAGCATATGTATTCTACTCATCAGGGCCTTATAAGTCAGGTCAAAAAGGTCTGAAAGCCTGTATATCAGGGTGTTTTCTAGGGCATACCCTGATTTTTCAGGTTCTGATTTTTTTCAGACCTGAAATTTATGTGTTCCCATTTTCTAAGGTCTGAAGAATAGTATGTTCTTGTTTTACCGAGCCTGACGAATCAGCCTTACTCTAAATTCGCCCTGAAACTGAATCTTATCTGCCAAGGCTAGCTAGAGCACGCGTGAGGGGCGTGACTGGTCCTTGACCAGAATCACGCAAGTTTGAGGCGAGCTGGAGAAGGTGTGAGGGGCGTGATCAGTCATTGACAAAAAATCACGCATGTTCGAGGCGAGGTGGAGCAGGTGTGAGGGGCGTGATTGGTCCTTGTCCATAATCACAGAACTTCTAGGCGAGCTAGAACAGGTGGGAGGGGCGTGACTGGTCCTTGACCAGAATCACGCAAGTTTGAGGCGAGCTGGAGCAGGTGTGAGGGGGTTGACTGGTCCTTATATGCAGGAATCCGAAGAGAAAAAATATACGCAGTGAAGTCCGATCCGACCTAAGAATTAGAAACTACAAAAATGTAGGCCTGATTAGTCAGACTAAAAAAAACAATTGGCCTGAAAAAACATGCCACGTCCAAAACCCGACCCTGAAAAACATGGGTTCTCACAAGGGTGACCCTGAGTGATCAGCCTGCCTAAAACCAATCTGAGGGCCTGCTACTCATATATATACATATATAGGCTCCGCAACCCTAACACAATTGCGTCGTCTCTTGTTTTTTTATTTCGGGTGTTTTTTAATCTATGTTTTTTTAGCCCTGGTGCGGGGAGTTTTTCAATTATGGAATCGCCCCCTGCACGCCTCGGGAAGTGTCGCGCACAAACTGGTGTCTCGGGCACGCTCTTCTGTGCGCCAAAGTGGTAACCGAACTCGGAAAAGCTGAGTATGAACGCTTTTTAGGATTGGGTGCCGTTAGACCCTGGTCCCCCCGCCCCCGTTGTATGTAGCTTTCTCCAGTTGGTTGCCGTGCTGCCCGCTAGAAATCCGCCACCAAATAGTCCCCTTCGACTTTCGCACGCAACTGGGGGCGGGAAACGGGGTCAGGCCCGGAGTAGAGTCGTCCAACCCGCCTCACGGTTCGCCGTCACATCGCGTGACATTCGCTGGAGCACGGCGGCGCGGCGAGGCGGCCACGCGGATTAGCTGCCAGAGGTAAGCGGGCATTCGCCTCGGGCTGCCGCTCGTCCCGCCCCTCGCCCATACAACGCCGCACTTCGCGTCTGACCTCTGCCCCTCGCCACGTCGCCACGTCGCCCGCCCTCCTCGCTCCGCAGGTGACATGCGCCGCGCCCCTCGCCGCCATCCCGCGCGTGCAATGCCCCCAACCCCCTTCAACTGTGTTCCAGCCTCTGTGTGCCCCTCGTCCCAGCACTCATCTGCCCGCCCTCCCTCCCTCGTCACCATCGCCCCCCTCCTCTCTCCTCCCGTCGTTCCTTTCTCCCCCCACCAAATTTTAGGGTTAATAGGGCTTCTTTTGCGCCAGACCCTGCCATCCTCGCTGCTACCTTCCCTGCCCCCCATAGCTCCCCCCTGCCATCCTTTTGGCCGCCCGCCCTCTCCCATCTTGCTACACCGCGCCACGCCCTATCTCACCGCCTCTCCCTCTTCGCCCGCCCGCCCGTTGACCCCACCTTCTCCACGTCCGCAGCCTCACCACCCGGCCCCTCCATTCCTGCACCTCCCCACTTCCCCTGCTCCCGCCCTTGCACCCGTTCATGCCCCCGCCATCCCTCCCGGAATACCTCCACCTCGAGGCACGTGTCATACCAGCGCTGCTGCGGTCGGTGGAGTGCTGAGCTGCTTGGAGGAAGGCGCTGGTCGTTCTGGTGATGGCTGCAAGGGACGAGGGGGGAGCGGGTGGGGGCGGCGGTGAGGCGTGGCGGGCGGAGGTGGAGGAGCGGCTGCTGGGCGCCGTGTGCGCGATGGGGTTCCGCCGCGACGACACGCTGCACAGGCTGCGCCTCTTCATGCAGGTGCCCGTGCCCTCCCTGCCTGCCATCGCTGCCATGCCCTACCGTTAGGGATGAGCATGAACCCGACCCGACCCGACTTTGCCCTACCCGATGTCGGGTTCGGGTCGGGTCGGGTCGGGTCGGGTCGAGTCGGGTCAGAGGTCGGGCATGGTCAACCCGACCCGGGTTTTGTAGGTCGGGTTATGGGGAACCCGACTTCGGGTCGGGTCGGGTCGGGTTTTAAGTGGGCAAAATCGGGTTATTGAACCGGTCGCTGTTTTCGAGGCCTTAACGATGGGCCACTTTGTTTTTTAACTGTTAGTGGACCATTTCCCGGTGGTCCACAACGAGCTACATCCTTGATAAGGGGCACATGGTTCTTGTCCCTTCTTAAACACCCTTTCTAACCATTTTTTAACGGCATTAGGTGCGTATCACACTCTTGGTTCCACCATTTCGTGCGTATCTTACGTGGAGGGCTTCCTATTGAGTCCCGGAAACCTAACTTCGGATGCCACATCAATGCAGAACAGTGCTTGTTAACTAATCAGTTTTGCAGACCCCTTAGCTCAATGCTGGGTTCGTCAAGGTTGGACACCGGTGCCCACCAAAGAGCATGCATGAGACGACTCTAATGCACAAAAAAAATTTTGGGGGGAGGATGCAAGTGACGGGATGCACAGTGATGCACATAGCCAAGGCACAACCCAGCCACCGCCCACGACCATCGAACCTCTATCCTCCCACTCAACCAAAGGTGTTATCACAGCCCAAAATCCTCACCCTCGATGCACAGCTCCTTCAGTGCCTGCGCAGCTGCCCCCCTCAGGAGCTGCGCGCCCTGGTGCTCTGACATCCATGACTTGATGGTCATGGATGCACGCACCTGGGCGGCGCTCAACCGGTGGCGCTGCCAGGACACAATGTTCCTCCCCTGACTGAACGCTCTCTCGCTAGCAGCGGATGTGGCTGGGATTGCCAGGTAGTCGCGAGCCATGACCCGAAGGCTAGGCAAGTCTACCCTGCTTTGCCAGAACTTAAGGGGGCAGCCCGCCTTAAGCCTCTCCTCCCCCAGGTACCTCTCAAGCTCATCCGGCGGCTTTACCCCCGCCGCTGCCGCCTGCGCGTCCATGGTGGCGAACAGCTCGTCCGCCAAATCACCCCCCTCCGCCCGCGCCGACCCCCCACCCTCACCCACCGCGCCGCTGTCCCCCTTCCCTGCAGTAGCCCTGCTGGTCTCCTCGGTCCCTGCCGTCTCCCCAGAGCCCTGCTGGTTAGCCAGGTACTTGTCGAGCTGCTTCCGAACCAGCTTTGCCACCCTCGCCTCGTCCAACACTGGCACCGCCCTAGCGGTGCCTGCTGTGTCGGCAACCAGATCCTTGTTCTCCACCTCCCACCGCGGAAGCCTGAAGTAGTGCTTGTAGCGGGGGTCTAGCATGGCGGCCACTGCGAGCTCCTTCGCCACCCCGTACTCATACTTCTTCAGGACCTCTAACGCCTCCCATGCCATGTCCCTGATCACTGGGGTGGTCGTTCTGTTGTGGTACATTATCTCGGGGTTGTCGATTAGGCGTTTGTACTGGGGAACAACCGCCGCAGCTGTTGGTTACAGCGATCCCTCAGCCGCCGTGGTAAGGGAGTGGAACAGCTTGAGGAAAGCCGCTACCTCCAGCAGCGTCTCCTAGTGGTCGTCCCTCAGGTGGAACCTGAGGGAGGGGCTGGGCACCTGTTTGGAGGTACCAGGCTGATTAAGACAGCAGGCAAGACAGTGGGAAGGGTGTGGAAAGAGTTGAGGAGGGGGAGCGGTGGTTCATGCAGCCATGCACCATGCGGCCATGCACCATGTGGCCATGCACCAGGTGCGATGCCATGCCATGTCATGCCATGCCATGCCATGCCATGCCATGCCATGTCATGCCATGCCATGCCATGCCATGCCATGTCATGCCATGCCATGCCATGCCATGCCATGCCATGCCATGCCATGCCATGCCATGTCATGCCATGCCATGCCATGTTATGCCATGCCATGCCATGTGCCATGCCATGTGGCATGCCATGCATGCCATGTGCCATGTGCCATGTGCCATGCTATGTTGGTATATACGCTCTGTAAGCTTTGCGTATTGCGTATACACGCTTGCAAATATACGCAATACGCTGATACGCTTGGAATACGCGATACGCTTAACCCGGGCTGCCCGACGAAATAAATTTGACTTATAAGTTTTTTCCCCGCGAATTCGCGACGTCGCGATATTTTTTCGCCCTGCTATCTCGCCCATACCCCAGTCTTCCATGGACGTGTGTGAAAGCCATCCCGTCCGTCCAAATTTCAGATATGAAGCAAAATGGTGGTTTGCTTAGCACGGTGGTGGAGATTGCGCGTATTATAGTGCTTAGCTGTTAGGTCTTCAAGCAAGACGGGAGGGAGGTGATGGGGGGAGAGTGGAGCATTTGTGAGGAAAGGTTGGAGTTTGTAGATGGGGAGGAGTTCAGTGCGGTGAAAGGGAGGGAGTTAGTTTGAAGCCAATTTGACTTTGTAGAGGGTAGGGGCTGAGTGCCGTGAAAGGGAGGGAATCGGTTGGTCAAAATTCGACCCCCTAGTAAATGCCTCTCATTTGAGAGTCGCGTTTTCAGAAACCCTAGCCTAGCCGCCCCCATCGTGGCTTCCTTGCTGCCCCCTGATTTTGTTTCCCTGCCCGGGCAAAATTTTTAGTTTTGGGAAGGTATCCGGAAGCTGGAATCTGCTCCAAGGACAGAGGAAGGAGTGAGGAGGGGGCGAAGGACTCCGGGGTCACGAAGGGGCGATTCCGTGGCCCCACTGTCAAGAGCGAACTCAAGTGTGGGAGATAGAGTGGCAAGGTGGGGGTGTTGTTGTGACACGGTGTACTGGAAGGAGGTTTCATTGATAGAGGATGCATACATAGAATCATAAATGGAGGGCGCACTTAGCTGGCCTATGAAGCCAGCGGACGAGAAGGCCGTCAAGGTGTTGAGCGCAGGACCGAGGGAAGCCTGCTGCGGCTGCTGCTGCTGTTGCTGCTGCCACTGCTGCTGGAACTGCTGCTGCTGCTGCTGCTGCTGCTGCGGCTGCTGCTGCTGGTGGGTGGAGAGGGAGTTGAGGTGGTGGTGAAGGTGAGGTGGGAGATAGGAGGCGAGGGTGTGATGGAGCTGCGTGGCGGACGGCTGGTAGGCAGGAAGGGTGCGTACTTCCTGGAGGGTGGGACGGGGATGGATGGTGGACCAGCGTGGAGGAGAGCCGGTGTTGCCGCGAGCAAACCACTCATCGGTGAGTGCCTTGAAGCAGGCGTCGGCCGTGTGAGTGGTCTGCTGGCAACGCTTGCCAGTTTGTGAGCCGTATCGGATGAGGGAGGGGCAAGAAGGAAGGGTGCCAGTGGAGGGTGAGCGAGTGGGAGGAGGGGAGGTGGGGGTAGTAGTAGGTGTGTTGCGACCGCCGCGTCCTCCCCGACCACCGCGCCCACCGCGTCCTCGGCGACCTCCACGAGATTGGGTGTAGTGGAGGGAAGGGGAGTCAGAACGGTTAAGTTCTGTTTCAGTCGCAAGGATCCAGGTGATGATAACTGCAGTGGGGACATGGAGCGAGAGGAGTTGAGTGTATGCAATTTTGTGAACAGCGTATGCCTCAGTGAGAGCGTCCATCAGGCGCCAGTTAAGGAGGGAGGGATCAATACGTGCCCCGCGTTCAGTGAGTTGAGCTGCAGTTCCACTGAGGCGACGAGTGAAATCTGCAGCCCCAGTGCAGGTGTCCAGCGTGATGGAGTGGAATTCGCGGTAGAGAGCATGGAGAGAGGCGAGATCCTGTCGATCATACGTCGCCTCAAGCTCGGTCCAAAGCTTAGTTGGTCAATTACGTTTTCGTACGTTTACGTTTACGTACGTTTACGTGTTACGTTTACGCGTACGTTTGGGCGCACGAAATGAGTTTACGTTTCCGGGCAGGCTAAACTTTTTAAGGCTGCCCTAGGTATAGGAGGTCCCCAAGTAGGCTTGTGGAACACTGCAGCAACTTAAAAAAGATGTTCCGACATGCAAAAAGTCCCTCAAAACTATGGTGACATACATAGATTACCCTTCACGTCTAGTCACTTGGCACATCATCCTGCGCGTCAACATAGCAACAATCCTCCAAGTCGTCGTCATCCAAGGGCTCGTAATCATCGAGCTCCTCCTCCCCCTGGGTTACTATGGTGCCACTGACCATCCTGTTCTTCGCAAAATCCGCATGCAACTTTCGCACCGCGTTGTAGTTGCTCGTGACATAGACTAGGTCCGCAAGTCGTTTCGGCCCAAGACGATTGCGGCGCACGGCATGGACTGATTCCCAAGCGGACCAGTTGGTCTCGCATGTGGATGCAGAGACACATTGTTTGAGGACTCTGCAAGCAAGCTTGGCGAGGTGAGGGCAGTTACTACCATTGAACCGCCACCAATGCACTGGGTCCAACTTCCCTTTTTTAATGAGATCACTCTCTTTGCGTGCCTTTTGATCGCCGATTTTCCCTGTGCCCTGGAGGTAAATCTCAAGCTCCTCCTCAACAATAGTGGCCAAGGGCTTGGAATCACCCTCCGCATCGATGATCTCCTCGCCGTCATAGTATTCTCTGACGAATTCAGTAAAGATGTTGCTGCACTCGTTATCCGGGCCAAAAATTTCAGCAAACTGGTTGGGCGGATACAAAATCCGCCCAACGACGTGAAGCGCACAGTTGATGTTGTCATTCCACCTGTTGCGCACCGCCTTGGCAATGGCTTTCTTCTCCCCCACCCGGAGATCGCCACATGCCGCAATGACTGACTCCTCGAGATCCAGCATCTTCTCATAAATCAGCCCCATGACCTCCTGGTTCCCGTCAACTTCCCTCAGTAGTTTGTACACCGGCTCCTGCACCTTCATCACCCGCTCGAATCCCTTCCAGAACTCGTTATCCTTAACTTTCTCTTTCGCCCACGTCATCTTCTTCTTCGCAGCAAAATCGCTCCACCCCTTCGTCCCCATTATCTTG